ATACATACATGCATACATGTGTATATATATATATATATAACGAAAAGCTCCAAATACCAAGGCCGAGATGCCAGAGTTGGCAAGAGACCCAGCCGCGCCCAGGACCAGAATTGTGGGATGGAGCTGACGTTGTGCAGGCCCCTTCGGTGTCTTGGGGCTTTTGTGGTCTTAGGGCTTTCGGTCTCTTGGGGCTTTTGGGGTTTAGGGCTTTCGGTCTCTTGGGGCTTTTAGGGGGTTTAGCCCCTTCGGTCTCTTGGGACTTTTGGTGTTTAGGGCTTTCGGTCTCTTGGGGCTTTATGGGGTCTTAGGGCTCTAGGGTCTCTTGGGGCTTTTAGGGGTTTAGGGCTTTAGGTCTCTTGGGGCTTTTGGGGTTTAGGGCTTTCGGTCTCTTGGGGCTTTTGGGGTTTAGGGCTTTAGGGGCTTCTGGGCTTTTGAAGTAACCAGGGAGAAAAAAGTATAGACTTTGATTTCATAACGGTTCCTTTAAGGAACAGGTCCCCCAAACAGTATTAAAGTGTGGTACTCCAAAGCCCAGGCTTAGGGTTTAGGGTTAGGGGGTTTAGGGTTTAGGGTTTAGGGTTTTCGGCTTAGGGTTTCGGGATTTGGGCCAAGTTTTGGGTTTGGGCGTAGCCTTAATGGTTTCGTGGTTTAGGGCTCAGGGTGTTTAGAATTGGGGCTAAAGGAGCTCCATTTGCGTGACACACAATACAGTATTGATGGAGTTGTGTAAGGTGTCTGTGGGGTTTTATATTGCCTTCTTTACGGTTTTGGGGCTTTTCGTCTGGAGGCTACATGGGTCTTAACCTGGGTCTTAGCGACACAAAACTCTGCTAAACCCTAAACCCTGAGCCCTGAGCCCTAAACCCTAAAATCCTAAGCCCTAAACCCTAAACCCTGAACCTTAAACCCTAAACCCCCTGAACCCTAAAATCCTAAGCCCTAAACGCCACTAAAAAAGCCGAAAGGAAAGCCCGGACGTCAAAAACAGTCGCCAGGGGTCGGGGCTTGGGCCTGGGCCTCTCCGTCTAAAGGCAAGATTTCAGGAGCCATGGTTTCGTGTTAGGGTTTAGGGTTTAGGGTTCAGGGTTCAGGGTTTAGGGTTTAGGGTTTAGGGTTCAGGGTTTAGGGTTTTTTCTGCCTCCAGGGTTTAGGGTTTAGGGTTTACGGTTCAGGGTTTAGGGTTTAGGGCTCATGCATGCAAGCACACCCCCCCGAATGCGTACCAATACCATTTCTGGGCGTCCGCCCCTCCTCGACAGAAGCATTATGGTACCCTGAACCCCAAAATCCCTCAAACTCAAACCCTAAGCCAAAACCCTAAACCCTAAACCCTAAACCCTAAAACCCAAAGCCAAAGGCTTCCAAGTCACCGGTGCCCGAATGCCCCACTCCAGGCGAAATTGGCGTTCTCCTCGATGTCTCGGTCATAGGCCTGGCAGGGGCTCCGGGTTTAGAGGTTAGAGGCTTTCAGGGTTAAGGTTTTAGGGTTTAGG